TGATTGCAACAGGGCCGACGTCGATAAAATCCCAATTTTCAATGAAGAGTTCGAGAATGAAATCAGAGATAGGGTTCATTGCATCCCAGTTGAGTGGAAAAATAATTTCAGCAATCTAGTTCTGATCTTTAGTAGCGAAAGGCATCGTCTTGGAAATTCTTTCGACGCCTGTGCAAATAGTGACATCAAAATAATCCGCTATCCTATCTATTGGATTCCTCGACTTATGCTTCAATGCTATTTCCAGATACGAAGCGTTTTACCCGATTTTATATTGTGCATTCCACCGTTGCTCATGCTGAGTATGCAGCTTTTTATATTGTGCATTTCCTCTCTGGTATTTTAACGTCTGAATATTGTCAACGTCATTTACTCAGCATTCGGTTGTTCAATGACATTGTTTTGAAATCCAAAGCTTGTAATCTTTGTGACGGAAGAGGAACTTTGTTTCCAAAATCGAAAAAACTCGTAGCTCAATTTGTCAAATTGATAATGGAGAACATTTCTGCTGCAAGACTGTCATTGTTAATACTATCCACGGGCTCCATTTCTCAAGAAATTTGTATTCAAACTATCAGCAATTTATTTATGTATGCAAATCTCCTTGTGTTTGTGGGTTGCATATACAATAAAGTGGATTTTTTATTTTTTTGATATAAGTAAGTTAAAACTTACTGAATGATCTAAGAAGAAAATTGTGCATATTATATTCATTCTGCTAGAGCAAGGTACTACAGTTTACGTTTCATTGTGCTCCTTTGATTATACATTTTTCGGGGAAGGGAAGATAGAAAGTTTGCAGTGGCATTAAGATAGTATTCTTTTGAGTTTAATTCTTTAGTTTTTTTTTTTTTTTATCCCTTTTACTGGATTTTACTCCTGTTTAGGTACCATATTCGACATCTTCATTTCCATCTGAATTTGAAAAAGAAGATGCGAGTTAAGAAGGTTAATCTTTTGCTTTACTTCAAAAATGGCTGGTTTCTAGTTGCCACAAATATATGGGAAGAGTAGAAAATATTTAATTATTGATGATTTTCTCAGTGTGAAGCTAATCCACTATCACTAAAGAGTTGCAAATGTCGTAAATGTCTACAATCTTAACTAGCAAGAGAAATTTGCAATAGTTCACCCTCTATTGAAGTGTATTTATTATATGTTATTTCATTATGATGTCAAAAGAACCTTTCCTCCTCAATAAAGAGTATTTATGTTTGTAATTATTGCGTTTGCATTGAATCAATTTTATGCAGCTAGTTGTTGGGCATTTTCAAAAAAAAGAAGGTTAAACCCTAACCTTAAGGGTCCCCCACCACCCCTGCTCTGGAGTATCGTGAGAGAGGTAAATCGCAGGTTATGCCTCCAAGGGTACAGGGTGAAAGACTGCTTGTACACTTGCACTTACTCAAGAGTTAAATTCATATTTCAGGATTCGAACCCTTGACGCAGCAGCCTCAAGCAAAACTGGATTTCTCCACCCTCCTCTGTTACCACTTGGAGATGTGCCCTGGGGGCTAGTTGTTGGGCATTTTCAGTTATAGTTTGGATTGATTTTGCATAAAATGATATATTTTAAGATTTTGATCGATGTTTCGTCATTTTTTTAAGTTGTCACTTTTTTTACTATTTGTCACTTTTTTATTTTCTGTCACTTTTTTTTAATCTGTGTAGCTTTTTTTAAATGGTGTCATTTTTTTAAATTCGTCAATTTTTTTAAATTTATGTCACTTTTTTAAATTTTCATCACTTTTTAAAATTTTTGTTGCTTTTTTTAATATTTATCACTTTTTTGAATCTTTGTCACTTTTTTTTTTAGTTTTTATCACTTCTTTTATCAATCACATTCTTGAAATTTCTATAACCTTATTTTAGTGACAAATATCACTTTTTAATAAAAGTGACATTGTATGTCATTTTTTAATAAAAATGTGACACTAAAATGTTAAAAGTGACATTATCACTTTATTACATTTTGTCACTTTTTTTGAATTTTAGTCACCTTTTAAATTTTTGTCACTTATTTAATAAGATAAAAAGTGACATGATATGTTATAATTTCCTAACATAATCAGCGTGTCCATAATTACCATGTGGATCGTCCTAGACATGCATATTATGTTAAGAACCGCCACTATGCTCATTTGAATTGTCCTGGATATGTTGACTATATTAAGAATATGATTATTGGTGCTACACAAATTTGCCTTTTTCTTTTTTTTCTTTTTTTTTTTTTTGAGTTTGGATCACTTTTTTTGAATTTTGTCACTTTTTAAGCATTTGTGTCACTTTTTGATGTGATCTGGAAGAAGCCCAAAGTGATCGAGACTTTACTAATTATGAATGAAGGGTCGAGACCAAAATTTGAGCTAAGTTGGGGGCCAGTAATGCAATTTCTGCGAGTTTCCTATTTTATTTAGACTTCTAATCTTTTAGTATTTTCTTTAATATTTTGCACGAAATTTTCATTTAAAATTAGGATTTTGAGGACTTGGTATAAATAGGGTTTATTTTCATTCATTGTAGAACTTTTGGTATTTGAATTAATCGGAGGTAATGTTCCTTCCTTCTTTGTTCTTCGCGAACAATTTATGGAATTTATCGGGATAATTTCTCGTGGCGTTAACCAATCAGAGTGAGATTCGTGGGTTGTGCAATCACGAAGTTAAGGTATTCTAGTAATTGCTTTGGTTTCGAGGGTTCATTTAATTATTCGGGTCAAACTTTAAACTCCGGTTTTTTATTTCTTTAATTGTGTAATCAAAATGTCAATATATCCGTATGATTGCATTAGTTGTTTGATTCACTAATTTTTGGGTCAAATTCCATAAACTTTGATTTTTGGCTTTCTTGGGATTTGTGTCATTTTTTTGTGGGTTAATAGCGATCTAGCTATTTAGGTTCGCATCACTTTTTTTTGAGTTTGTGTCACTTTTTTTCAATTTTTATAAAAAAAAGTGACATTGTGTCACATTTCATTTTACACAGTATTTTTTACTTTCAAAAAACATTTCATATGATTTTTCAAAACACATTTAATCTTAAGGGTAATTTTGTAAGTTGCACAATTTTTTAGAGACCCCCAAAGTGTTGAGGCCCAAGGCCCTTGCCTTGTAGGTCTTATGCCAAGGCCAGAACTGAGTGTATGTGTGTGTTAACCGAGAGTGACATAAGAAATTGAAGTGCGTTTTGCTATGACCCTTTTATAGATCAGGTGAAAATTGACAGATTTGGAAATTGAGGGGTCGATTTTAAGGGTCTTTGAAGGGAGAAAAAATGTTAATTAATTACGGCGGTTATTGGTTGATTTACAAATGAATTAAGGATCATTAAGTGTTCATTTGGGAGAGATTTTTCATTAGGAAAAATGAATTTTTCGGAAAGTGTGTGGTTAAAAAGTAAGGAAGATCTTTATATTTATGTGCAAAATTATTTTATTGCAAAAATGTGAATTAGAAAATAAATTTAAAGAAAATTATTTTCAAATATATTGTGCCAAACGAACCATTGGTTGATATTTTTTATATTGTTATATTTTCACTTGGCTTGCAAGTGGGACAAGCCGTCCTATTTGGGGATGAGAGAGGGAAATGGGTAAGTTAATTCCCAAATTTCACAATGCAATATTCATGACTAATTTCGTAATTTGACCAATTCCATTAAAAACGAAGACTGAGTTCAAATCATATTAAAAATTAATGTGGAGGCGAGTTACTCATATGATAAGTTAATACTATCAAAACTTCCTATAAATTTACTGTAAAATGAGGGGTTTTAGAACTAATTAACTTGACAAGTGGCTTTAATTTAATCCAGTTCTATAATTTCTATAAATTACGATGAAATTAGTTTATCTTTTGGGAAAATTGCACAGCTATCTCAAACCTTTGAATTTTTTGCAGACTTTGTCCTAACTTTCACTTTGTACCATCCATAGTTCCTGACCTTTCATAAATTTGCAGTAAAAGTCCAAATGAATGGAAATCATCCAATTTGACCATTAGTTGACTAATAAAATTGAACTCTGACCAATTTAAAAAGGTTAAAAAGTAACTTTCCATGAACTCCATCTTATGCTTAAAAGAAGTTAAAAAATTAAATTTAAAAAATCAAAAAATGAAGACGCATACACACTTACCATCTTCCTCACCCCCATCCCCAATCAAAACCAAAAAACCACACTACGACCACCTACCACCACAACTTCCCTCAGCCACTGGCCATCGTCGACCCACACTATCAAATCAGCAGCATCTACCAATTTCTAAGGAGGAGCAAGGATCAAGCTCCAGCATTGTTGCAGAGCTGGTCTGTTCTTCTAATGCCACTGTTGGAACCATCAATCGAGTATCTCTAGCGTTCTAATTCACACACATATACACCCACGCACAAAAATGGTTGAAATTTTGACCAAATCTAGCCGAATTTATTGTCGTTTTACTCAATTTCGGCTGCCATTTTGCTCAAAGTTACTGTCAGTTTGCTGTGGCTATTCTTCGACGGTGGTGTCCACTATTGCAGTGGCTATGTTTTGATAGTGTGGGACAGCGGTGGCTGTTGAAATATGGAGCACAAATAATGTACAGTCAACAGCAACATATTAATAATCAACGAGAAGATAGTCATCAGAAGAAACATGATGGTGCAGAGTAGAAATGTCATTGAAGGCCATTCTGTTAAATTTTGTTACGTAGCATTCTTTTCTTTTCCCTTTTCTGTTAGATTCTGCTGTATAGCATTTTCTTTGTGAAAGTATTCTAGATCCTTCCCATTCACTGTATATATACGTGTGGTGCTGATCTATTGTAATCACTTGAAGACATTTTCAATAAAATCATTCTTCAAGCTTACATCTGGTTCATTCTGCCTTTTTGCAAAGGGAGCAATTTATTCCCTATTTTCTTATATGGTATCAGAGCCAAGATATGGCGGAAGATTAGAGCACCATCATAGAAGCAGCAAATCAGAATGCAAGCACTGGGCAGAACAATAACACCAATCCAATGTCAAACATTCATCAGAATTCAAATTCAACTGATCCTACCCATCCTTGCAGTCCCTACTATATTGGGGGAAATGACAATTCAGGGGCAATATTAGTCACTCATGTGCTTGACAACACCAACTATTATGCTTGGGCAAGGTCCATCAAAAGGGCACTTCGAATTAAAAATAAACTGGGCTTCATTGATGGAAGCCTTTGTGAGCCAGCAGATTCCAATAGTTTTCTGATGGAACACTGGCTACGCTGCAGTGATATAGTAATTGCTTGGCTACAAAACACTGTGTCCGTTGATATTAAGTCCCATACACTTTATGCTGACACCGCTTGCCAACTCTGGCTGGACCTGGAGCACCAGTTAGGACAGCAAAATGCCCCAAGGATTTACGAAGTAAAACAGTCCATTGCTACACTAATGCAAAATGAAGACATTGTAAGTGTGTATTTCTCAAAATATAAGACACTTCTTGATGAATTGATGAACTGTGAGTCCATTCCCAACTGCACTTGTGGAGGTTTTAAATCTGTCATTGAGAACCAACAAAGAGACTGGGTAATGAAGTTTTTGATGGGGCTGAATGATTCATTCTGTTGATCAAGTCTTTTCCCACTTTGAACGAGGTCTACTCTATAGTCCAGCAAGAGGAGAAAAGAAGACAAATATCAAGTGATACTTCTGTACCTGACTCTATGGTTTTTGCAACCAGAGGAAACTGCCATAATTCAACAAGGCCGAATGTGATGGGACAGAGAAAATACTACTGCGCCTTTTGTAAGGTGCCTGGACATTCACTAGAAAGATGCACCAAGGCCAATCCTAACAAATCCACTTATAGCCACTGCCACATGACAGGACACTCTGTGGACAAATGTTATAAAGTTCATGGATACCCCCCCTGGACACAGGTTATATACAAGAACAAAAGCCCGTTCTAATCTAGTTTCCCTACAGGGGCAAGGAGATGCCAACAAGCACAACCAAGTGACATTCACTCAGGAGCAGCATGCACAACTTCTGGCTTTACTGCAAAATAGCAAATGCCTTCCTAGCACAACACCTGCAGACACACATGCTTCCAAACTCCCTGGTATCTCTTCTTGTTTATCAGCCTATGACATCAAACCTAGTATTGGTAAAAACCCTAACATACCATGGATAATTGACATAGGAGCAACAGATCACATGGTCTGTTGCACTGCATTTTTCAGCAACATTCAAGCCAAAGTATCTTTTTCCGTCTCCCTTCCAAATGGTGATCTAGTTAATGTCACACACATTGGAATTGTAAAGGTCACAGAAAAGATCATTTTAAATAATGTACTCTGGGTTCCCTCATTTTCATTCAACTTAATTTCTGCCAGAAAATTAACACAAACATCTAAATGTTGTCTAATATTCCTCCCTGAAAAATGCTTTTTGCAGGACCTTTTGACTTGGAAAACGATTGGGATGGGTGAAGTGAGGCAATGATTATATCATCTGCAGCAATCTCAAGTTTCTCCTTCAGCTTTAACGGAAACCCTTACTCTTATCCCAAATAGAACTTCTATGTCAGCATCTATTCTCAGCAATAACAAGGATTTTGATCTCTGGCATTATAGGCTGGGACATCCATCTCAATCTAGATTAGATTTGTTAAATATCAAATAAATCCCTAAACTCCCCAAGGAACCTTGTTCTGTGTGTCCTATGGCTAAGATGCATAGATTGCCATTCCCTGTCAGTCATCATAAGACTAAGAAAACCTTTGATCTCATACATTGTGACCTCTAGGGTCCTTGCACTATAACTAGCCATGATGGATTCAAATATTTCCTATCTATAGTTGATGATTTCAGCAAGTGTACATGGGTCTATATGTTAAAAGCTAAATTAGATGCTACTGCAACTTTGCAAGGTTTTTGTACTTTGATAAACACTCAATTCCAGTCACAAGTTAAGGTGATTAAAACAGACAATGGGAGGGGGATTTGAAATGAAAGAATATTACCATAAAAAGGGGATTATACACCAGAAAATGTGTGTCGAAAGACCACAACAAAATGCAATAGTAGAAAGGAAACATCAACACATTCTTAATGTTGCAAGAGCCCTAAAAATCCAAAGTGATATTCCCATGAAGTACTGGAGTGATTGCATTCTCACACAGTATATTTAATAAAAAGAACACCTTTGCCTTTGCTTGAAATCAAAACTCCTTTTGAAATGCTATTCATACATAAGCCAAACTACTCACATCTCAAAGTTTTTGGATGCCTTGTTTTTGCTTCAACCTTGGCCAATCATAGAACTAAGTTTGAGCCAAGAACCAGAAAGTTTGTGTTTTTAGGATATCTTTTTGGGATAAAAAGGTACAAGCTTCTTGACCTTGAATCCAAAAGAACATTTATCTCAAGAGATGTAGTGTTTTATGAAGAAAAATTTCCTTACAAAGATGGCAGTGCATCTGAAAATGCCAACATAAGATCGTCACAACCTATCCTCGATGACATTGAAACAGAAAACCATATTCCTTTCTTTCCTACAAACAGTATTGATGAAGTAATGACAGGTAGAACTGAGATTGAGCGTGAAAATTCCCCTTCACTTCATGAGTCAGACAACTATCCTATAAGGTCCCCCATCTCACCAAATTCTCAAGAAGTTGAAAAAGAATTGCCTGATGATATGATTACAGGTGATCAACTATCACGAAGGTCCTCGAGAATCAAGAAAGCTCCCACTTATCTTGAGGATTATATCTGTCAGCATGCCTCATTTCATCCATCACAAAAGTTGGACAAGGACAAAGGCCCTCACACTCCAGGTAATCCTTTTCCTCTCAAGGCTACCATATCAAATCACAGATTGTCAAATAATCACAAAGCATTCATAAGTTCCATAACCACACACGTTGAGCCTAACACATATCAGGAAGCATTAACCTCACCTGACTGGTGTAAAGCCATGAATGATGAAATTGCTGCTCTTGAGATGAATAACACATGGATTGTGACAGATTTATCTCCTAACAAGAAATCTATTGGGTGTAAATGGGTGTATAAGGTGAAGTATAGGGCATATGGTAGTGTCGAAAGGTACAAAGCCAGACTTGTGGCAAAAGGATATACACAGCAAGAGGGATTGGACTACCATGAAACGTTTTCACCTGTAGCAAAGATGGTGACCGTAAGGACATTACTAGCAGTTGCAGCTGTAAAAGGATGGCATTTACATCAATTTGATGTAAATAATGCATTCCTACATGGGGATCTAAATGAAGAAGTATACATGGAGATGCCACCTGGTCATCCTGCTGTAAAGCATTCAAAAGTGTGCAGGCTATTAAAAGGTTTGTATGGGCTAAAACAAGCATCCCGACAATGGTACTCCAAGCTCTCAACCTTCATCATTGGACAAGGATTCACTCAGTCTAAGGCTGATTATAGTCTATTTATAAGGTCCACTGAGCGCTCTTTTACTGCCATTCTCGTGTATGTCGATGATATAATAGTGGCCAGTAGTAGTATTGACAGCATTAACTCTCTCAAGTCCTTACTGGATAGGAGATTCAAGATTAAAGATTTGGGCACATTGAAATATTTTTTGGGAATAGAGGTAGTAAGGTCTGATAAAGGTATTCATATTTGTCAACGAAAGTATGCTTTGGACATACTAGCAGACTCAGTAATGATAGGGTGCGTGCCAACAAAGATACCTTTAGATCAGAATATGAAGATTTCAAAGATGGATGGAGAGCCTCTTCTTGATCCAAGTATGTATAGGAGACTTGTTGGGAGATTGTTGTATTTGACCACCACCAGACCAGACCTCTCATACTCAGTACAACTACTAAGCCAATTCATGAGTTCTCCTCGGACTTCCCATATGAAGGCTGCTGATAAAGTGTTAAGGTACACAAAAGGAGCCCCAGGACAAGGACTATTGTTCCCTGTTAGTTCAGATTTGTAGCTTAATGCTTATAGTGATTCAGACTGGGGAGCTTGTCCAGATTCACGAAGGAGTGTGACAGGATATTGCGTAATGCTTGGAAGATCCTTAATATCTTGGAAATCAAAGAAGCAAAGCATAGTATCCAGATCTTCAACAGAAGCAGAGTATAGAGCAATGGCAAATGTATGCTGTGAGCTCACTTGGCTTAGGTACTTATTTCAAGACTTCAAAATCAATCATCCACGGGCTGCTGTCTTGTTCTGTGACAACAAATCTGCCCTCCACATAGTAGCCAACCTAGTTTTCCATGAAAGAACTAAACACATTGAATTGGATTGCCATTTGATAAGAGACAAAATTCAAGAAGGAAGCATAATTACTA